GCCTCCCATCCGCCAGCCCCCGGTCGTCGCTCGAGTCGCCCCGCCCCCAGCCCAGCCCTTGGCCGCCGCTCCAATCTCGCTGCCCCTGCACCGTCCGCCTAACCTCGCCGCCCCTCTCCGCACACCGCCACTCCGACCTCACCTGACCCCGCCGCCCCCTCAAATGAAGTATTAGTTGAAATATAGTTTTTACATCTTCCATTGGAGTAGTTGTTTTGCATCGTCTGGTGAAGTTGACCCTTTTTTGAGATGCAAAAGGCAGTTTTGGAGATGTAAATTTTACATCTCAAAATTTGCATCTTCTATTGGAGATGCTCTTAGCAAGACCAAAGGTGCGTACCGTGTTCTAGCGCTTTGTTGCTAAAGTTTTTGTTTGAGGGTGCCTTCAAACTGATTGAAGTGTGGCAGTACCTGTATTCAACAAATCTCTCGCTTCCTCCCAAAATAAACTACTACCTAGCTCTGCAACACTTGAATACTAATATCAACAACTTCCGTAAACTTCACATCTGGCTTAGATGAAGTTTATTTACACTCAGAACTCTGCATAACCTTTTTTTTACAAAAGAAAAAGTCCAGACTTCTCACAAAAAAGCAGCAAAAGCAACAGCCACTTTCGTCATAAGCCTGTATAACCCTGGCCCGTAAATAGGCAGTAATATAACTTTATTTGCACAAGACACATACAGTAGCTCAACAAACCTTTTTCGATCCACGCCCAACGCATGCCTAACATCTGTAAATGGCAGTGGAAAGGAGTGAAGGAAGGGGTCACGGTATCTGATATCTCTATCATGGGTCGATCGGGACAAGATACTTTTGGTCGATCAGCAACTACATACAAAAGATACTTCAGGAATTACAAGGGCATGAGTGTGATCATCACATACATATTTGTTCTACTAGGGTTACGAGCTAAAAATTCTTGATACTGGGGACAGGAGACTTGACGAGAGAAACTTCAATCCACTAGAGCCTCCAGGGAAGTAGGATATGGTGTAGTAAGCAAGAGCAAGGACCTGGAACAAAAGCAAGAGCAAGGTCACTTCTTAAACAGTAGGCTTGAGTGCAAATGCACACTGAATTGTTTATGGGAGTTAGAAAAGCATTCTTTGATAGGGATAAGGAAATCATTATGCCTCTAAATACAGAAGGGGAGAGGGCATTTCACTAAATAATGGCCCCGATTATGAGCTTGTTATGTAGATGTAGAGAAAATGAAATGTTGCTGGAATGAAGACAAGTCAAAAGAAGAAGAAAAAGACACACCTGAAGGATTGAGAATATCACCGACAGAAAATAGCTGTGAAGCACCATAGAGACATAAATTGTGCCAACCATGCATCCGGTGAACCCCACTGTAAATGGTAGCCTCTGAAACATAGAAATATGCAAATGTTTGCATCAGAAACCCCATGCATTTGAAGATTATGTGGCATGACGATATTGCATTGCATCCTATTTACGAATCTGAGCAAGTTCAGGCGCAATTTAGTACTCCCTCCGTCCGGAAATACTTGTCATCAAGATGAATAAAAGGGGATGTATCTAGACATATTTTAGTTCTAGATACATCCCTTTTATCCATTTTGATGACAAGTATTTTCGGACGGAGGGAGTACTTGGTACCAACAACTCTTGTCCCGTGCCTATGCCTAAATGGGTGCTTTAATTTGTATTCTGGGAAAAATCCACTGAATCGATATTGAAATGTTCATTGCTGCATTTCAGAAATAAGAATCCGAAATTTCATGCATCGACAGAAACCAACTCTAGTGCACATCAGCAGTTGCACTCAAATCAAACTGTACGCATCCACGTGCCTCCCCTGACTATTGCATTGCATCCTATTTACGAATCTGAGCAAGTTCAGGCGCAATTTAGTACTTGGTACCAACAACTCTTGTCCCGTGCCTATGCCTAAATGGGTGCTTTAATTTGTATTCTGCGCAAAATCCACTGAATCGATATTGAAATGTTCATTGCTACATTTCAGAAATAAGAATCCGAAATTTCATGCATCGACAGAAACCAACTCTAGTGCACATCAGCAGTTGCACTCAAATGTACTCATCCATGTGCCTCCCCTGACTTCCACGAGACCAGGGAAAATGTTTAAGCCATAGACAGGAATCAGGACAATACAACTGATTCAACACATCAGTTGTATTACTTTCAAGTTTCAAGTATATCCAGAAAATGCAGTTTTAAACTTAAGTATCTCTTACAACGGACTAGGTTTTCTGTATGTCGTTGGCCAACATGAGGCTTCCAGACAGACACTTGATTGATTATGATTAATCAGTACTAAAAGCCTTTCTATAATCCAACAATATTGGATTAAGCTCAGAAATCATGTTAGATGGAGGATAGCGAGACCAGCATTACTGCAGAAGCTAGAAAGCGCAGAAATAGAGTGAACTTAGGTGTCCTCTCAGATTGAGCCAAATATTTTGTTTGTTCGCAGGTGGGGGAAAAAAGCAAGACTCCTTATGTTGCCCCTGGTATTAGGATTTAGGAGAATCCACATCCAAGAGGTGAGCTCACTGGAAAGATCGAAGTCCATCAATATTGCCATCACAAAGTTATCAACTTCCACTACTCTACTTCTTTTGGCATGTTCAGATCAAGATACTTCACACAAATACTTCATTTTCCTAAATGTTTTCTTATTTTTCTCTTTCTTCTGAATATCAAGTTTTGGATTCTTGCATTGATGACTTGCAGAAGACCAGATTTGATGGCATTGAAATAAATATTTTACAGAGACTTTAAAGAGCATTTTCAGGTTGTGTACAAATGATAACGATATGTAGATTCAAAGACATTTTCCCTGGGACAGTTCTCGAGTGACAAACATCCTTGAGATTTATAATTAACCTTCAAGAGCTGAACCAAAATCAATAACTTCAAGGGCTCAACAAGATAACTAGATTGGCTCCACATGAAAGGAAATCTATTTATTTTCTTAAATAAGAAATACTGAGTTTGAATAGGTTGACTGAAGGAAAGGCCTACTTGATCTGCTTGCTCAATTTTTCTAGTGTCCTTTCTGACTTGCTTATTTAAATTAAGCACAGAAATATTGCTCAGTAATTCCTATACTATTCTCGTCTCAAACATTCAATATAAACAGCAGAAGCGGAATAAAAAGGGATCCCTTGAACCCCTCTACTCGAGTGAAGAAGTAATGCATGCAAAGACCTAGGTAAGAGCTCTTGGTTCACAGGGGATGTCCATGATGTAAGATCACAGCCACAGAGCTATTGGTTCTCCTCTTAAGAAGAAAAGGTGATCAGCTAAATTCCGGACTTTGATTTGGGGAGTGATGATTACTTTTTCGGTTATCAAGCACTACAAGAGACTAGAATTGTTTTGTGATAGGACCCCTTCATATGTGTAGCATGTTTTGTACAAATAACTCATCTGTGTAGCCTTTTTTTTTCTAAGTTTACAGGGCCCTGTTTGGGGATTTGGTGAAGAATCCTCACCAAATCAACTCAGTGAGGTTACACGGAGTACCCGGTCAATCCAAGAGGATTAAGGGAAAATATCATGACTACCTTGCATCTTTCCGGTCAATCCATCCACGTTTTGTCTTGACTCATTTTTCCTGTCCCTATCCAAAGCACTAACTTTCTTTATATACAATCAAATGACAAATAGCTGGTCAGTTAGCCCTCCTCACCAACAGATATGGCCATCAGCTATGCTACAACTGATCCTCAAGGGATTTTCATTACTATGAAGGTCCAATGATATTCCGGTATACAGACTAGCAAATGACAGCCTTTAGCTGTCTGCATAGAGCACATGAGCTCACCACCAGATTAAGATTTGTAACTTGTTTCCGCATGTTCCAAAACAGGAATCATATTTGGTTAAAAATCAGGGCACCGAGTAGATGAGTTTTGACAGGGTAATCTCTACTTCGTCACTACCAAACAAGACTATTTGTAATTTCTTACGAAACTGTAAGCAAATGAACAGCAATAGCGGCAATCCGCGGCAATAGAGTACCTCTTTTGACGTCATATGGGCGAGCTGGTTGGCGGGCCCTTTGAGCGCGAAGAGCGAAGCGATGATGAGAGCGCAGCCAAGTGTGAAGCAGATAGCGAACTTCTGCGGCATGAGCACCATGACGGGGAGGAAGAGCGTGAAGGCGATGAAGACGAAGAAGATGCCGGTGGCGAGGAAGAGCCCGAAGTACATGAGCGTCTTCCCCGAGGGGAAGCTGCTGGTGGCGCCCTGGAAGCTCCCCGGCAGCTCCCGCACGCCCTTGGACACCCTGCAGCACACGGATCAGAACGCACCGGGTCAGAGGCAGAGAGCTACCGAGCTAATCGCGCCCAGATCCCTCGGCTCGGAAGGCAGCGGAGCTTGGCGGGAGCGGATCAGATCTGAGGGGCTAGGGCTGGGGAGAAGGGGGCTTACACATTGAAGGTGCCGGAGACGGTGTCGTTGGCCGAGCGGACGGCGGCCTCGATGTCGAACGGGAGGGGGGAGGAGGAGGAGACGTCCGACCGGGTGGCTGCGTAGGAGTTCCAGTCGGCGAGCAGGGAGGGCTGCGACTCCGCGGCGGTGCTGGGGGAGGCGGAGCCGCCGGTGAACCAGGACTGCGCCGTCTTCTGCATCGCGGGGGTGCGGGTTAGCTGCCGGCGGCGAGGTGAGATTGAGGTGGGCTGGGACGCGGCTGTGCGTGTCGAGTCGCGGAGGTGGAGGAGGCGCAAGAGATCGAGGGAGAAAACGAGCAGACTCTTAATTATTGAACGTTTTTGCAAGACGATGATAACTTTCCGGCGAAGTATCCAGCGAAAACCCGAAAGCTTTACTTCAAAAAGAAGACACCAGAGTGCATTTTCTCTGCGAAATACCCGGACCAAAAGTACAAATACCTCAAACATAATAAAATTTACTGAACAACTACTACAGCTACAAGACTAAACTTGTTGATGACAGCTGAAAAATCTTCATACATGTGCCTTTAAAGACCAAAGCTCTGAAGTTGTAGTCGCCGTCATTGAACCCTTAAATCTGAAGCACCTAATATCAGATCGTGCCTGTCACAAACTTGTGCAAACTCTTAGCGCCAGCAAGCATGTTTTTTAGGCAACATCTAGCATGCTTGATCCCATAAACTATCTTATATACTCACTGACATTTCTGATTTATTTATGATAAGTGTAACACACTCCAGCCAAACCTATCGGTTCAACCATCAGTTTTTGCATGTTGCGTACACATATGATGAGAAACTCTAACCTCGTCGGAGCTTGTTGACTCCCTCTTGATGGACGAATTCGGGGACAATCGAAGCCCAGAGGACCAACTTAAGGATGAAGCGCCGCCATTCGTCCAAGTACCGCCCGCGTGGGAACTTAACAAATCCTAACCGAAATTTAGACGGAGTCGAGGCACCGGGATTCTCCTCCCCTCCACCAGCCACTAACAAAGGGGAGGAGGATCCATGGGCTAGCTGGTGGAGCTTGGAGGGGAGGAGAACTTTGCCCTAGTCGCCTTAGGGTGAGAGAAAGGAAAAAAGAATACCCAAAGTGCATCCTATATTTCATAAATATCAACAAAAACAATATCCAATACCATGAAAGGAACAATTCAACACATACACGAAAAAATAAAGATCAACAACAAATAAAACTACATTATAAACCAGCAACAAGGAGAAAGTCGCCTGACACAAGCCCGCTCTCCAAGATGTTATTTGTGTTGGTCATTAACACCATCAACAAGTTGTTGGCCAAGGCCATGGAGTTCGGGTTGCTTCGCCTCCTAGCACCTCGAGACCTAATGATCGGCATCTCGGTGTATGTTGATGATGTCATCATCTTCTGCCTTCCAGGCGGAGAGGAGTTGTTTGATGTTCGATGCTTACTTGCGCTCTTTGGGCATGCTTCATGGCTACACACCAACTTCATGAAATGCTCGGTGTCCCCTATTGGTTGTTATGAGGTGGAGGCCCGAGAGGTGGCGTCGGTAATGGGGTGTTGGTTGGCACACTTCCCAAAAAAGTATCCCGAGATCCTGTTGGTGAGAGGATTGTATCGTCTTATGCAACGCGGGGGTAGTCTAGTTAGCTGCCCATCGGCGAGATGAGGTGGGCTGGAACGCGGCTCTGCATGTCGAGTCATAAAGGCAGAGAGAACAAAAGAAAACAAGGAAGAAAACAAGCAAACATTGGTTATTGAAGGTTTTCCTCTGACGTTGCTATATATACTTCCTTTTTCTTTGGCGGAATGTGATACATACTTTTCTGTAGATCGATTTCTCAAAAAATATCCATAGTGCTTTTCTTTTGGGTCAGACTTTGATGCAATTATTAAAATTATTAAAGGAGAATATATAGAGAAAGTTGTAGAAGTAACATTCTTTTGCGGTGAATAGAGGTACCTTTAAAACCGTTCACTTTGTTGTATGCATCGATTGATGCAAAGGGCGGGGTTAATCCTCCTTTTCGAAGACAAAAACCAGTTCACTTTGAATCTTTCACCTTAGGTGAAGTATTTGACAAAAAAACTACCACATTTGGGGTCATCGTCCCACTAAACTACAATTTTCAAAAAAATTACGAAAAAACTACCACTTTTTTTCTATTTTTGTTGCAAAAAACTACCCAAAATGATTGATGACTGTTTCAGACGGTTTAAACATGTTTATGACAAACGGGACCCACCCGTCAGGACTAACATGGTAGGAAAGTCAACGTTGTTTATTTTGTTGTTAAGTTGACCGTTATTATAGATGAGGCCCACACGTCATCATCAACCTTCTTCCTCCTCCTCCTCTTTCTCTCTCTGGCATTTCAACATACAAAGCCGCTGCCCTGGCTTCCAATCCGCAGACCCCATAGGGCTATGATTCGTCGACTCCGGAGATAGCTCCGTCGGCCACGTGCCTCCTACGACGAACCTCTGTTCAAGATCCCATGATCTATCGCTCCCATGCACCGCTGCATGGAGCCACTTCCTGGCAGTCATCCCCGACAGAGGGGCTCCACCCCCGCCGTGTCCGAAGCAGCTGCTCCGAGGTCCTTGCGTCGAAGACCGGACGTACCTCCTGTTGAGACAGCCACCCCCGTGATGCTGTTGGAACGCTGCCAGGAGGAACAGACACATGAGGAGGATCTTGCGCCGCCATGCACTAGTGCCCCTCCAGGCAGCCGCGCCACAACCACCAGACGCCCTGTCGTCCCCTTCACCGGCGGCGCATGGGCTTTCCTGGCGGCCGCCTCTGGGGACGACGAGGGAAGAGGGGAGGGAGAAGGGGATGGCAGCGAGGGACTAGTGTTTGCTCCCCCAGAGTCGCGCATACAGTTAGGGGGTTGCTTAGTTTTTAGGCTGTTCGTCGCCTTTTCTTCGGCGATGGCGATGGCAGCGCTGAATAAAATTTCTTCAGATCCTACTCTGATGACGCGATTGGTCATATGGTTTGGGATGGATTTGGAATCCGGTATGTTCAAGCAAGGATGGTGTGACGACGGCGACATCCTCGTGATGGACCTGTGTCCTCGAGCTCCACCATTGCGACGACGTTTTCTCCAGCACCGGCGCGAAGCTTGGGAGGTAGTTTATGAGCGGTTGCAAATGGTCTGCATCAGCGGCATCTGAAAGATGGTGATCGTGTGTTGGGTTCGTGATACGTGGATGGCAGGGATGGTTTCCTCCTCCGACGTCTTACTCATATGGGGGTGCTAGATCTGAAGTTCGATAGCGTGTCTGGGGTGTTGTCCCGGTCTGATTCATTCAACAGTAATGGTTTCGCCTTTGGTGAGTCATCTTTAAGGTTCGCAAAGCAGCATATCAGTGATGAAGCCGTGTCGAGCTTGGATATGGAGGTGATCCGTCATTTTTTCCTTCTGTGGCTTCTATGGTGGTGCCAGAGGCAGGTGACGGACGTTGGAATCAAGTTCCAAGGTTTTTTTTGGTCTTGTTTGTAATTTTACTTCTTGGCCGTTGTTTCTTTGTGCAAAGGATAGTGTTCTACTCCCTCCATTTCTTTTTAGTCTGCATATTAGATTTGGTCAAAGTCAAACTTTATAAAGTTTGACTAATTTTGTAGGAAAAAATATCAACATCTACAATACTAAATCTATATGATATGAAAATTAATTTCATGATGCATCTAACAATATTGATTTCATATTGTGAATTTTGATATTTTTTCTATAAACTTAGTCAAAGTTCAAAAAGTTTGACTTTGATCAAATCTTATATGCAGACAAAAAGAAACGGTCTTGTATTATACTCTCTCTGTTCCAGAATATAAGGTGTATTGGTTTTCATGCAAGTCAATCATTTTAAAGTTTGACCAATGTTATAGAATAAAATAACAACATCTGCAATACCTAGTAGATAAAATATGTAACTACTTTTCCTAATGGATCAAATAATCTAAATTTCGTATTGTGGATATTGATATATTTTTCTAAAAACTTGATCGAACATGTACTCGTTTGACTTTTAAATATACAAATACACCTTATATAAAAGAATGGAGGGAGTAATTCTTATGATATAAATGAGATACATATTACCATAAAAAACGTATACTAAAAAAAACAGACATAGGGAGCCCATATCAAAATGAAACAAACCTCGCTTGGTTACCCAACGGCGAAGGCACATTCACTCGCTCTCAGCTTTCACCATTTCTACCCCGAACCCGCAGACAAAATAAAAAGAAACAGGGCAATCTGAGCCCAGCAGGCACAGCCATCCATCGTGTTCACGCGTTGCGTGATCCGTGTACCAACGTCTAATAAAACAACTAATGCACATCGCAGCAGGTAGAGAGTTCTGCAAAAAATATGTTTGCACAGCACAACATCATCAGACCATGTCAACGTCCACAGACGTCCCATTCGATGAACCCTTCGTATCTCCGACATCTCTGCTCTGAAGTTCCTCGGAGGCGATGTCAGCCTTAACCTTGCGCTCCACCTTCCGCGACCCGTCGATGGTGCCCGCGTCGATCGCCTCCAGGTACAGTGCCCTGGCCAGGCTCATGAACCGTCTCCTGAAGCTCGGTATCCGGGACATATTGGCCACGATCCCTTGCAACCTGTTGATTGATGAATATGTTACTGATTCTGTAGCTGTTTCAAATTTATATTTGGGAGTTGACTGTGGCAAAGTTGGAAGGGTGTATAGAAAAAGACACCTTCTGATGATCGCCTGTAGCTGAGCTCTCTTCACGCCGTCGCTTGACGGGAAACCGCAGTCCTCCCAATCCGACGGTTTTTCGTTCGCGTTCGTCATGATGAGCTTCTGCAAGCACAGCTCCTCGTCTTCGGTGAGCTCCAGTTTCTTCATCTGCTCCTTCAGAACCAGCAGCGGTCCAAGCATCCAGTCGAACACCTTGTCCTTTGGCCAATTGAAGTTGGTCACCTCAACGTCATCAGCTGCAACCAACAAGGAAATGGTAACCATGAACCATGAAGTTTTAAATTGCTTAATGTTATGCTAAGGCTGCCAGGGGATCATGCATACATATGAGCAAACCATGCGTGTCGTGTTTCGCGGATCGTATCAGACAGTGAAGGATGCACCAGGCAGGTAGTTTTATGCTCAGCTTCTTTCCCTTTCCTTTGGTTATAAATTCCTCTATATCTTCAGAACTTATCAGTCCCTCGCTCAGTAATATCCTCCCATTTATCTCGCAAGATCGGAAGAGCCAATCCCATATCTGTGCAAGTTCAGTCGTCGAGAGAATGGTTAATCTTAGCTGTTAGAGCAGAGATATAATCGTATAGATCATTGAAGACGACAAAATGTTCATGTACTTGAATGGGTCTTAGTCGTTGGATAGTTTCCATGAATGTCTTTGACCGGTGTAGAACCCTCCTATGCTTACGCTGGCCTTGATGTTGCTTCTCTGCAGATGCAGCTGTAACGTTGTGCTCATCTTTGTCGCGGCCGGTCTCATACTTCGCAGAACCCGCTTTCCGGTACTTGGGCCTGTCTATTGGAACTAGTTTACTGCCAAGTAAAATAATTGCTATGCATGATCTTCTAAAAATATTGCTATGCATAGAAAAAGGTCATGCAAATAAGTACTAACAGACTTCTAGCATATGAAGCCATAATCGCAGTAAAAATAACTGCTAAATCACACCTTGGCAAACAAGAACCTTCTCTCAAATAAAGAAGATCATTTGTGTATTCATCATACAATGCTACTGCAGAGATCATGTATGATAGCCCCATTTGAAATGAAGCCTCCTGCACACGATTACAGACATGTATAAGTAGTGGTTCAAGTGAGTCGAAAGAGACTCACCATTATTTTCTATTGGAAGAAACAATAAACGACCTGATAAGCAACCAATCCAGCATGGAGGCCAAAGAAGAAGCTGCTAAGGAATGATGCAATCACTCCTGCGACGACAGCAAGCGGCCACAATATAATGGCCAAACCAGCGAAAGGGACACAAACAGTCTCTAGAAAAGGCCCTTCCCTCCCAACTAGATCCTCGCAGAGTCTTTGCCATCCTTTCAACAACATGCAGGGGCTTTTCCACAATGCCACCCCAGTAATCATCAATACATCCAGAGGAACGGCAACCAGCGCAACGAGGAAGCTCCGCGGTAGATAAGACAACCTTCAATCGTAGAAACAAGCATAATGTATTAGTACTAGAGGTTGTTTCAAGGTGAGTGCATAATTAGGGTCTGATTCTCCATTTTGACGACATGAATATGTAACATGTTATATACTTGATGTCAATAGGTGCTTCGTCATCCCCCATTTTCTCGGAAAGCTCGTCCATGAAGGAGAAGTATGAGTGGAAGCAGAAGTCGGTAACATCACGCACCACCATACAAGCTCCCCTTATTGTGCTAGCAGTACCATCCTGTGACATAGCATTACTCCGTTAATTGGACGCATTATTTTGATTTGTAGTACCCCCTCAGACTCCAAAAAGAAGGCACACACACTTTTCAAAATTCAAAATTTGGCCATGAATTTAACCAATAAAATGTGGGTTTGTGCTACAAAAATTATACCATCAAATTTGTGTCCACTGGTATAACGTTGATGGTCAAAATTAAATCTCGAAAAACGTGTGTCCTCTTTTTGGAGTCGGGGGAGTACATCCAGAAAACTTAACCAAATACGCACTCCAAGTTTCAGCAGCATGTACGTACCAAAAAGCAATGAGAGAGCTTGTCCGCGACGCCCTCGCCAACAGCCTCAAAAGTCGCCATGAGGGGAGTGAAAACTCCATAACCGATACCAACCAGAAGGCTCCCTACAATGCCAAGCACCGGCAATAGGAGCAATGGCAGTGGCAGGAATACCACGGCAAGGATCTTCAGAACCGGCCCAATTCGCTTCGTGCTGCAAACCAGAGTTTGCAGAATAGTTTGATCACATACGACCAACACAACGTTTCACTCAAACTTATCCAGAAAATTTTAACTCGTTTAGGAATTTAAATTTGTTTAGGCGTGCAGGCATTAAAGAGAAAAATGTGTGTGTGTGTGGTGGTGGTGGGGGGGGTGGCATGATGACAAAAACTGAAGATGTAGTGGCAAAGTGTGGCATAGCAGCATGTAACGGTTTTCTCTAGAAAACATAGACCGCCTGGGTGCCCATATGCGATGAACAATACAAAACGGTTTCAGCCTAATCCAGGCCATTAATTCCTGAACCGAGCACATCGGGTTGTGGCACGTGTATAAAATGCCCGGTCTGGACCAAGCGCTGCAGCCACACACCAAAACAGCGCAGCGAGGCCTGGGGCCGGAAGGGGAAGGGATAGTGTGGGAGCAAGGTATGTGCTACTCATGTGTTCATCCTCTTCTTCTCCTCCTAAGATTTAGTTTCCTCAAGTGCTCATCGATTTCCCTTCCCCTTCAATGCTTGTACAGGACATCCGTGGAGATGGGCCGTGGGCGATCAAAGGCATACTCGCCAGTACCTGCTCGCAATGGAGCTCCTTCTTCCATGAAGAGGACACCAGTTGTGAACACGGCGTTACTTCAACTCCATCATGCTGCACTTGCGGGGTACTGGAATCCTCTTTGTCATCAAAGGTGCGTTTGTTGGTACCGGCATGGAGGATCTGTTCAAGTTAAAAGTGATAGGGAACAACAACCGCATTTTCTGCATGGTTCCCATTTTTAGGATAGATCCAAGAACCATGATGATGGACATGGGGGGTGCCCTATAGCTTCGGCTACTTTCCTAGAATTGCGGCTGTTGGTTGGATCTATCCTAATGAGAGCCATGGGGAAAATGCGGTTGTTGTTCCTAACACTTTTAACTTTTAACTTGCACAGATCCTCCTTGCCGATACAAGCGAGCACACCTTTGATGAGAGGATTCCAGCACCTCGCAAGGGATTGCAGCATGATGGAGTTGAGCGCCGTGCTCACAATCGGTGTCCTCTTCGTGGCCGCGGTCGACTAAGAAGGAGCTCCATTGGGAACAGGTACTGATGAGTACGCCTTCGATCTCCCGCTGCCCGTCTCCACGGATATCCTGTACAAGCATTGAAGGGGAAGGACAAAAACGATGAGCACTTAAGGAGACATAAATCTTAGGAGGGCAGAGGAGGATGAAGACACACTCGAAGCACATGCGCCACACCCCCACCCATGTGCTCCAGGAACTAATGGCCTGGATTAATTAGGCGGTCCACGTTGTCTAGAGAAAAACGAAACGTTGCATGCTGCTACACCACAGCTTGCCACTGCATCATCTTCAGGCCCAGATTGTAAAAAAATATGGGTACAAGATTCTAGGAAAAGCTGGATGAAGGGTCGATTCTCAAGACTCTGGGAGAATCGGCCAAAAGAACTGGGCCTCAGTTTATTTCACTACCTTACACATGGTTCATCATGATGCAGGGAGGTAACCGAACTGCAAAAAATAAAAACCCGAATGAAAAATGTGGGGAAAGTAAGTCGGCATACGCTAGCACGCAGCAGTAGGTCCAGACGAAGTGTGCAGGCCACAGGCCGACGATGACGGCTGAATCGCCGAGGAAAACGATGGCCGCGGCGACCGGGCCGATCAGAAGAGCTGCAAAAAGGCAACACGCACACTTTCTCAGCCATCATCAAGCTGGGTACCATGAACACAAAATACTCCATGCTTTGGGCAGCAATAGCGGTCTCCGGCATTGGGGTCGAGGGAGAGGCGGGGATGGCAGGTTACCTTTGGCGGAGCCGAGCAGCAGGAGGAGGACGAAGAATGGCAGGAATGATGCGAGGCTCCAGAGCTTGGCGAGGAAGCCCACCGGGACGTTCATGGATCAGCGGCGGCCAACCTGTTGCTTCCTCCTGCCCTGAGCCTGACGAGAACGAAACAGAGAGCTTGAAACCCAGACAAAGGGAAGGAGAAGGAAAAGGAAGACGCCGGAGGGTCCCTGTCGGCAGGTGAGAGTCCCGAGCGGCGTGCTGTAGAGCTGCCGTGGCGCGACACGTGCTGCTCTGCATGGGGCGCTCTCCAGCGCACGCACAATTTTTTACTCGAAGGGCCATGGCGACCACACCTGTTTCCCTGCAGCAGATCTCAAGAGTTTCAACGCACAACGGAAAATTCCTACGACTTGTGCCACTTTGGAGCCACACGCATCAACAAGATTGTCTTCCTTTGTCTCTTCTTGGTCCATGTTGTGAAGATAGAAATGAAGATAGGTCAAAGTCAAACAATACACGTTCAATTCTGGGGTTTCAGAACTGCGGAAATTTGAAAATAGACATTACACTTCAATTCAAGCGCCTTTGCGTTGGGTAAGTTGGCCGGCCACAAAACGTCAGGAAATAGGGACAGCAGACAGGCACCCCATCAATTATTTCCCCACAAAAAAATAACAGGTATAGCATGTGACGGGGGAAGAGCCTGTAGTAAAGCTTAAGCTAGCGTGCATTTTTTTAGTCTAAAAATGCCAACAACAAATTCTGGGGTTTCGTTCTTTCGACAAACGCTGGCGGCCCAGATGGTGGCTGGAAACCGGTACACAGGTCAAGCAGCGCTCCATGTTCAGATGGCCTCGGCTTCGTCGCCGCCCTCGACAGATTAGAGCTATCTATCTTACGTGAATGATCATCTTATTCAAGAGATCCTTGTGCTCCGGAAAATATTCCAGCAACTCAGCTTTGGTCACCCACGCGTGGTCTTCGCACCTCCTGATGTCCAAATGCGTGGTGCCGATCACTTGCGACTTGAAGAAGAACCGCTGCTAGATGCATATAACAGGATTAAGAGACCATCGGGTGACACTGCGTCAAAACTAATATGTCGATTGCTTGACAAAATGCAAACAAGTCTTCTTTTAAGTCCTATGCGTATTCTAGTACTAGAAGAAAAAAAATGGTGAACCAAGAAATACCTTGAATGGTGAAACACTGGAATCCTCTTTTTGTTCAGTTACCATGTGAGCCATTGGAGCGTTGCCAACAAAATATGTATTGTCAAGTCCGCCGAGAACAGATTTTAGGGCTGACTCGGCACACTGAAATCAAACACACAAAATATGAATGAACATGGTACTATGAAACTACAATTTTAAACTACCAGAAACCTGTCAAATAATATAAGCAAATAAACTGGAAGTGAACTACAGCACGGATCATCTAATAAAAATTTGAAGCCTTTTTCCGGAAGTGCATACCAAACGCAAAGAGTCTTCATTTTCGTACACTTTTTCTGGGAAATGCCAAACAGGTTTGCCATCAGGAGCCCCAAAAGTTTTGCCATACAGGAGAAGATATATCTTATTATCCAGAGCTCGTTGTAGTGACCTACAGAAAACATTGGATAGCATAAGTTTACAGTGTTATACTCACAGAGCAGCATTATCATGAAAGTTAGTTCACAATATCAAATAAGAGTTTCAGGACATGACGAGTGTTTTGCAGGTAACACACAATATCAAATAAGATACTGCTGTATGAGGTATATCTACCATCTTCGGGCTAGGAATGAGTAGAACACCAAAGAGTTGTCCAGGAATACTAAAGATAAAATTATGACGACCGTGCATATCTTTGTAACTGCTGGTGATATGGACAGGATAGTATCGGTTTGCACAGCAGAAAGAACAGCAATGGGTGGAGTTGAGCCCATTGAAAGGTCACAGTTTGCTGACATCTTAGACATAAGTACTCTGATTCCAGTCTGAACATGTGGCCCAAGTTCCACTTCAATCAAGGAGAGATATTAGTGATACTCTACACACTCTTAACTGCATGGGTGTGGAGGCCTGAGCTTGTGTGGACACACAACAGTCTCATATCCCACATATTCACCTATGTAACAAATACATACGCGTAATCCTCAATGCATGAATGCATATATCAGATTAATGGGGAAAATGTGTGTTGTGTTCAGCTTTGGCTTTCATGGGATCAGAGTAGATTCCAGCTTTCCTGTTTTCTCAACTATGGGCAAAGGCCGACTATACCACTCCCACTCCATCACCAGCTTTTCTTAGTTACGCTTGGTAAACATGCTTCAAGCCTCATGCCAAAGACACTTGCCCATCTTACCCAAATCCAAATGGCAACAATATGACCAAATAATCCTTTCTTGGCTACCTTGGTCTCCGTTGAGATCTCGGATATAATACGAATATTGATGTGTCTGCCAAAACAATTAAGGAGAACTACTCTCACAGCAACAAGGATGAGTTACGTTGGCACACTCACATCCAAGGACACATTGCCACAAGTAAAATGGTGCTAGCCAAGCAGCCGGCATTGCCAACCTTCATCAAGGTGCTTTACTCAAGGAACATGTCACATGAAAGTGAGTACAACTCGATGAAGCTTGGGAAGGCCGACAGCCTGTGGCATTGGCAGAAACAAAATCTGTGGGGTCACCCCTGAAACTTCCAGCCTTCTAAGAAGGGAAGACTAGCTAAGTGTGTAGGAAGAATTGTCAGACTAATCACCGAGTTATTCATAAGCATATATAGTGATGGTGAACAGTGCATCAAAGCTGATTTGGCCTGACAATGCTGTATCACCATGATTTACTATCCCATACTCCTACTGACATATATTAAAGGCCAACAAACCAAAGCACACTTTACATAATAAGAAAA